CACAACCTAAACATCCACGCAAAAGGCATTTAATTGCATGCACCAAATCCAAATGTAAACATGCTGAAAACAGCTTGGTTTTTCTTTTTTAATCAAAGTGCTTTTTTAGTTCAGAAAAATACTGAGTTTGATAAACAATGCAGAACCGAAGCCGCAGAATTAGCGACACCTTCTCTCTTCCAAACTCCTCTTCTCCCCCCGGCTCTGCCCCGTTCAGAAGCGGCGACTTCTCGCAGCCACGCCGTGCTGGTCGGGATTTCGGCAGCCTTCAGCCACCGACCTGGCGGTGGGATCTAGGGTACGACCCTGGGACGGCGTCTCCCCTCCTGCTATCAGTCTGGCTAAGCTTACGAGGGCTCCAATTCCTCCTCGCCCAGTTCAACAGCAAGGTGGCGAAGGGATTTGGAGCAAGCGAGGGCTCCCCAGTTAGTTCTGCTCAGCCCTCTTCCCCCGGAGCAGAGCCTCACGCAAGCACCCCCGGAGCATTTTTGGTTTGAAAGCAAACTCAGGCTTCTCAGAGGGCAGCACTGCGCTGTACCTTTGCAGTTGTAACCTGGGTTCCCAAAGCTTCTGTGTTCCGCTGCGGGTCCAGCTGCTCCCTCCTCTCCCCGTGCTACACAGACAGCAGGTATTTTGAAAATAATTCCCTCCCCCCCCCCCAAATCTTGAGTTTAGATGCCAAAAATGGTGGAAGTGCTTTTTGTAAGGTTTGTCACGAGCTAACCAGTATGTTACTTATTTTTCAAAATATTTTTGAAATATTTCGCCTTATGACTAAAGAACACCTTGCTTAGCATCTCACAGCCCACATCTCCGGAGGTTTCTGTGTAGTGCTACTCATAACTCTGCTACTATAACAAAAAGGAAAAGTGCACGAAACTCAACGCCAGATTCTGAGCTCTTTTATTTTCGTTCCTTATTCCTGGCTCAGATAAAAAGACCATTGCTGCAATCCATTCCAAGTGAGGTCACCCCTGCCCAGCCCCAGTACCTGGTCCCCTCCAGGATCTCCATAGGAGCAAAAAGGTTGGGACACAGAGTGGGCAAAGCAGTTCAACTCCATTAAAAAAAAAAAAAAAAAAAAATCCGAAAAAACCAACCCATGGAAAGATTTTCACCCCCTGTATCTTCATCCAGACTGCAACGTCTCACAGATTCTGAGTAAAACCCCTGGTTTGGTTTGTCCTGATATGAGAATTCATTGCTATCTATAGATCAGAGATGGATTTCCGTAAGAAAAAGATCATCATTAATCACTACATTTTTACTCTGAACTGGCCAGCATTACACACCTCCCTCAAACAAGATGCAGAACCTAATTGCCATAAATGATGTTGAAAGTACTTTTTTTCCATATCTCTATTAACTACACTTGCACTACAGTCAGTATCATTTTAGCTAACATTCATATTTATTCACGATATAATTTCCTAATAAAGGTAAAAGCTAAAGTGTGCAGTTTTTAGGCCTCGTATTGATAATTCTCCAGAAAGAGTCCATTTGAAACTCTGCCAGATCTGAGAGTGAACTAGGAAGAGCGATGTCTGAAGACTCCGTACCCATTTTCAGAGGATCTCTTTTCCTGGATCCTTTGATCCTACGAGAGCTGAAGCAGCATCGTCATAAGCTGTCCTACTGCCATATACTTACCCCACAGCCCTACAAAAAGTTTTAAATAATTATGTTTTCATAAAAAGTTCCGTGATGCTGTAATGGAATATTTCTCAAATTCCAAACCAGGAAACTCTAGTACCTGAGCTAAAATCAAGCGAGTTTTCATTCAACGGCATAAATGCCCCCACCCCCTTCTTTCAATTTTCTGATAAAATAGGAAAAAAAAAATTATTTCAACATTTGCTAAAGAGGAAGAAATGGGAAAGTTTTAATCAGCCTAAATAAGCGACTCTAAGAGGTAAAAAACCCTCACAGAAAAAAGGAGGATGAAAACGCCTGCTTGTGGGTTTGTTCCATCTCTTCAGAGCAGCGAGAGGTACAAGATCTCCGCACACAGCCGAAACCTGAAATGTTCTAAGTGCTCAGCTGATCCCCATCCAACTGGCAAAGCTTCCTGCCACCTGACCAAGAGTTACCCGGATAAATCACCCATACTAATAAGCTTGTGTCATGGGTTCTACAGTTTTTCTTCCAGGACAATGGATCTGTACATGTCTAATTAAGTTTTTGATCAATACTAACAGTTGTGATTATTTTATATATGTCAGGTATATATATACATTGTCAAGCATGCTTGGAATTTTAGCCTGGAGCCTTTCAGCCTACCAATTTGTTTCCATGCACAAATACTTAAAAATTAACAACAGTAATGAGCATTTACAGAATACGCTGACTTTGCAAAACGTACCAGAAGCCCTCACCACGTGCCGATACGGAGGAGCAGAACGTGTCCATACTCTCCCATAGTACCAGCCGTTCAGTTCCTGGAGATTTACAGCCTGGAGTAACTTCTCCTTGTAGCATCAGCGGCAGAACTACTGCTGGAAGGAAACGAGCTAGGGCTCTGTGGCCAATTTATTTTCTATCTATGGAGACCTCTAAGGTTTGCGCTGCTCCTGCACAGTCTATTCAAAATACTCCTTAGTGAGAAAGACACGAGAAAAATAAGCAAACTTAAGAGGTGCTTGGGCCCGTCCACAGTATTCCCAGATCCGAGTTTGCAAAGCTCACCACTCCGGCAGCAAATAGCGCTTTCTGTTTCCCCTTGAGCTGCTCAGCCATTAGGTTGCATTGGAGTTGCATTTTCAAGAATTAACAAAATCATTCAGCCTTCTTGGCTGGATTGAGAGGTTTCAGGCACAAAAAGAACAGTTACAGTCATCCAGCAGAATATAAAACAGGAATCCTCCCAGAAATATTTCCACAACAGACCTACAGTTCCTGCAGTGCCATCCATTTCAGAAAGATGAGTGACGTTTGCTTGGAATCCACAAAGGACGGAAGAGCCACCCAATTCCTGTGCAAGGTGCTGCTGTGGGCTGCAATCGCTTTGGAAGAGCCTAGACTCAGCACGGGCCCTGCCTCCGCGTCTTCCCTTGACCAACTTCAACCCAACACCAGTCACGACAGTCACACCTAAGCCTTTGCTCCCAACATCTCCTTTTTTATGGGGTGCTAATGTAACCTGCCGATGTGTGCGACAGATCCTCCAACATGCAACCAAAGGCACAACCCCGATACAGTCTCTAACTAAAGAATTTTTGCTCTTCAGTAGAGCTACAAAGGTTGATAAGCCTCAACGTGTAGAATCAGATCGTCTCAGCTGTCGTGATCCCAGCTTCAGTCTCTGCATCTCATCCAAGGTGGCAGATAACACTCCAGGACAAGCTGGACTCGACACTAGCCCAAATACTGTGTTTAGATGCTCTCAAGCTTTTTTCCAAACCGTTATTCCCACAGGCATATCGTCTTCTCCAAGATGCATTTCCGCTTCATTCAATTAAGGTTTTACTTAAATTTGTCTCAGACATCTAACAACTATTTTTATTTATAAATTTATCTGCTTAGTGAAAAATGTCTAATCTCAGCTCTAATTGCCTTTTAAGCATCTAATAGCCCTAGCAAACCCAATCCAAACACAGGCAGCCCGACAATACAGATATTTCATACCCTAAGATTGACTAGAACATAACTCCTCAAATGCAAGCCCTGCTTTTCTATCCAAATGCCAATTCCTTAGTTTATACCTCTGACAAATAGTCTGCAGGATCATATATCAGAATTTGCTGGCAGCATGACAGAGCCAAAAGATACTTAAGATGTTTACCGCTGTCAACGTTCGGGAGACTGAAACGACAAGATGGTTGCAACCACAACAGTTCCACCGCCCTCTCCGTTAGCTGGGTGTGTGCTGCACAGTGCCCAGGGGAAAACAAAATGCTGACAGTGTTTTTCTGGAGTAGGTAAAAGCCTGTCCTTGGCAGACAGTAGGAAACAAGAATGTGAACAATTA